CTTCTTGGTATCGGGGTAGGAGAACCTCCCCCGTCCACAGGCAGCTTCTGCACGGCCCTTCTCCAAACCCGCAGCTCAGGAGCGAGGGGACAGCCTGGAGTCAGGAGGGTGAAGCTCTCAGCCTGGGGGACCAGGGGGACCAGGGGGACCAGGGGGATCAGGGGGACAGGGACCAGCAGCAGAGGTCTGAGGGGCTGCTCTGAAGACTGGCGCATCCTTCACTTCCCGGAGGCAGGGGCGAGCTGGAGCGTCCCCCCCTTTCCACACGGTGGAAACATCGACGCCCCTCGGGCTGCTGGGGGGTTAGGTTTTCCAGCATCTTCCTTCAGGCCCGGAACCCGGCCCGGTCTGCGAGGCGCACGTGCGGTCCAGGGTGGGTCAAGAGCACCTCAGCGGTCCTCGCTCAGGGCAAGGCCGCCAGCAGCCCCGCGGAACGCGCTCGCTGCTGAGCGGGGGGCCGGCAGGCAGCGTGCGTGAGTTCAAGGCCGGGCGCGGGGCGGCTTCCGCGCAACCCGGCGGGCAGGACGAGCTCACTGCTTGTCCGAGTCGCTCAGGTTCACGGACATGCACCTGCACTGCTTCACCTTCTGGATCTTTTTGAGCCGGAAGGGAGGGTCCAGCCCGGGGCACTCGAGCTCCACGAGGACGGAGGCGACGCGCTGGGGCTTGCAGAAGGCGCAGGACTGGAAGGACTCCTCCTGCTTCCTCCCGTGGCGCGGGATGTAGAAGGAGTTGCACTGCCCGTAGCAGAAGCGGTTGAGCACCGTGCGGCTCCGGCAGCCCTCCTCGCTGACCGTCTGCCGCAGCGGCTGCGTCTTGCACCAGTCGCTCTTAAGGTACTTGCGCTCGGTGACCACCAGGGCCTCCTGGCTGGAGGCCAGCACCTCCTTGGCCTGGTGCTGCCATCGCTCCGAGCTGTTGGCGCTGCCGTCCTTGTAGGGCGAGGGGATGGCTCCCGCAGGCCGGTTCCTCCTGCCACCCGCCGCTTTCACCAGCACGGCCACCAGGAGCAAGGACAGGGAAAGCTTCCAGAACATCCCTGCAACGAGAGCACAGTTAGACGGGCCGGTGGGCACCGCCCAGAGCGGGCGGCTTCGTTTCCTTCTGAAGCCTTAAGAGGAGGAGCCGCGGGCAGGGGGGTGAGGCTGGCGGCCCGATGCCCACCCACGTGGGGCTGGAGGTGACACGGGGTGAGCGGTTCGCTTGCTAGCGGCCGCCAAGAGCGCCCAAGTACTGCTCTGTAGGCAAGGACCGGGACAAAACAGGTCAGAAAACGTACTCGGGTCGAGCAGCTGGGGAATTACAAAGCCAAGGCTGTCAAAATTAGCTCGGGCCGCTCTGCCCCAGGACCAAAGGCAGCTGATGCCCAACATTCGCTGCATTTCAGTGCCTGGTGTCCCAAGTGTGTAGCTCACTTGATCCTCGCAGCAGCCTTAAGCCAAAGGTGACATTATTGCCCCTATTTTATGGTGAAGGAAACTGAGACCCACGGAAGGTGAGGAATCCTCCCCTGGCCCAGGCTTCGGAGCCAGGCATCTGCCTCCAGACCCATCAAAATCAACCACAGGCATGGCTCTGACCAGGGAAACTGATCGAGGCCTAAGGAGAGGTGAGCATGGCGCAAGTTTCTAAAAATGAGAATAAAAGCTAGACATGGACCTACATGAAGGAAATTATTATTTGCACATTGCACCTCTGTTCATTGTTAACAAATAATAAATAACATTTAACATCTGCACAAAGGTATTCGAGTAGTTCCAATGAGTCTCCCCTTAGACTCTTGCAGTGGAAGCCACTTCCCCCGGGCTGTGGATTAGGAAATGCTCACGGCTGGGTGGAAACTGACTTAGGCCCCTGCAGTGGTGACGCACAGGAGTGGATCTTCTCTGGTCCGTGCACCAGGGAACCAGGACGCCAGCCCAGCAAATACTCGATGGTGGGAACCAGAGAGAAAATGTTCTCACTCACAGCCACGTCTTGTAGGAAGCAACCAGTCTGACGGACAGATGGACTCCTTCAGAGTTTAATTCACAATTTTCATGGTTCTATTTTCATTTATATCCTCAAGGGACAGCAATGCCCCTCAATAGAGACGATTCTTATCTCCTTCAACAAGTGGGCCCCTCATCTTCCTCTTTGTCATTGTCATCACCATCAGTTCACATGCAGCCATTCCCTTGCTGTGTACATTACTGCTCACAGGACTGAACCAGACTCTTTCAGAATGGCATGTAAATATTATATATAGAAAGCATTATATAGTTATAGAATGTGTATAAGCATAATGACAAATTTAGTATTAAATACATTAAACTTCCTGCATTATTACAGATGTCTTAAATATATTCATGCTAATGATATAGTTAATATTTATTGGTGCTCGAAATATATCAGACACTCTTTCAGTTTCCTTTCATGTATAAACAGGATTATCAGTGTTCTATGAAATAGGTATTATGATGTCCTTTATTTTATGGTTGAGGAAACCAAAGCATTGAGAGGTGGCATAACTTTCTAAGACCACACAGCCTATATATGTGAGTCCGCGTCTCTTGGCTCCAGGTGAGTATAGTCACCTCGTCGTTAAAAAAATATGTATCTTAAAATATCTAAGCTAGACAGAGAGCTTGACAGCTGGTCAAAAGGTACAAGCTTCCAGTTTTAAGATAAATAACTTCCGGGGATGTCATAAAAACACCGAAGCTAAACTATTTCTCTGTGTCACTGTTATTAGTCTAAGACACGGAGGCTTTTGCATGTCACCAGCAGATGATGCCTTCGTCAAGTATTTGTTGAGTGTTTAATCTAGAGCAGGCACTGTGATAAGCCTTGTGAATTCCGTACCTCCTCAGAGGCGAGGTTCTTCCAGGGTCAGAGGAGCCCTTACAGGATCCGCCCTCAGGGGCCTCACCCCCCCCAGCTCCCATGACTGCCTCTCTGTTCTAGAGTCTGCTCAGCACTCTTGAGCTCTAGAGCCTTACGTTGCCTTCGCCCGAAGATTGCATGTCCCCCACCCCACCACCACCTCTGACCTTCTCCCGCTCAGTCTCCAAGTCTTTGCTCAATGATCACCTCCTAGTGAGGCCTTAGTGGGTGACATCTCCACAACCCTGCCATTCACTGTCTCCTCCCCTGATTTGTATTTAACAATGTTTTTTTTCCTTTTGTATTGTCTGACTTCCCCACCAACCGGAACGTAAGGTCTCAGAGAGGAGACCGCCTGTTTCATTCACTGCGGTCGCCCTGCCTGTAGAACAGCCCCTGGCGCATAGTAGGGATTCAGCAGATGATCTGAATGAAATATGGATACCGTGTGTTTCATTGCCTTCAACAAGCTTGCGACTAAGAAGCTAGAGGAAGGCATGCGAGTGACAGTGTGACAGTCACACAGGAACAAAGGCATAGGCTCTTCTGGTGGTGGCCCTGGGACCAACAGCATCTGCGCCTCCTGGAGTGTTTTAGAATGTGGATTCCTGAGCTTCACCCCAAAACCTTCTGAATCAGCAGAGTTGGGGTGGAGTTTGAGATCTACATTTTAAAGAAATGTTTCAGGTGATTTCCCCAGGCACCAGTGACCCCAGGGGACAGTGAGGATACAGGGAAAGGCCATCAGTTCAGGAGCATCTCTTCCGATCCAAATAGGGTTCCTCCAGGTGACACCACCGAAAGTAAGCGCAGGACTTGGGTAAAAGGAGGTGACATGGGCAAGGGAGTCAGACAATGGAGAGCAGAAAGGGAAAAAGGAAGCTTTTCTTTTCTAGAAACATTGCTTCCAACACAATTATTGAAATTTTGAGGCCGAGTTTTTAAAGGGCTGTTCTCCTGCTGTCATCGTTCCACGCGTGAAGTGTCACGTAAAAACGGCCACGCCGCCAGCAGGCTCGTGGCAAGCGTCGGGAATTGGACCCGCTCAGCTCACATAGCTTATTATATTTGCAGCATGATTTGTGATCTCAGCAGTCTCTTAAAAAGCAAGCATGTTGGTTCCACTTTAGTAATTTCCGAACTTATTAACGTTCTGAGTAAACACAACCGAAAAACTGTTGCAAGTCCCCGCCAGGAAAGATTTACAGAGTCAGCCTGTCCCTCACCCCCTCGTCCCAGTAACAGCGTCACACGCGTCCCTGGCAGGCTCGAAACTGTGTCGCTTTCTCTCAGCAGGTCCTAGGTGCTGTCGGGGACAGCAGAGCTAAAGCACGTTCAGCTCGATTTGGGGCCCAGGCTCGATGTGCTGATTAGCAACGTGCATCCTTCCAAGCAATGTCAAAGCATCTGGCCATCGCCCTGAGAAGTGACGCCTCACAGGAACCCAAGAAAAGCAAACTGCCCATTTTCAGGACCTGGAAAAAGGCTGACGGAAGCTGGATGAGCGGGGCCAAGGGAGGCCCTTTTCTCTTTTCTCCCCTAAATCTTGTTTCTTTTTTCCTTCACACAGAGCAGCAGTAAGCCAGCCAAGGCTCTGGCATCCCAGTGGCAGGTCAGACAAGAGGCATTTTGCTGCAGTGACTGCTGGCTGTCTCCTCTTTCCTTCAAGGGCACTAAAGCTATTGAGCCCCTAGTTGGGTGGGGTTCCCCCGGGGGAGGGAAGCACATGCCCCTTCCTTCAGGGCACCACCATCCACGCGCACAGGTCAGTAGCCCCACCAGGACCTGATCGGAGCCCTGTTATGGCCTGAACCACGTAGCTGCTCAGAGAAACGGTCGGCCATCCAACTAACCTCCCAAGAATGCTGCCCCGCTGCCAGGAAGGACAGCAAATAGACATTTCATTTACCCTCGTATCTTGTGTTTGGGTTGTATCAGAAGAAACTTGTAAATAAATCCGGTTGGTTTTATTAACCGTCTTTATGGCCAAACAATGTTGGGAGTTTGCAAGGGTTGCCAGGACTGTAAATGCTGATGGGCTAAGCAGACTGGGCTGGGTAGAGTGGGCTGTGCAGAGAGAGAAGGAGCAGGAGCACTTTCTCCTTCATCCAACGCCCTGAGCCTGGCCTTTGCAGATACCAGAACAAGGCATCTTTGTAAATACCAGGAGTCTAGTATTTAGGCAGCTACAGAATAACTGGCCCCTTCTGTCCCTCCTTGGAAATGTCAAGGCGTCTACACCAGGAGCTAATTTTTAAGAAAGGATGTGTCGGGGCTGAAGTACCCTTTGTAAGTGAGCAAAGGCCGAGGGTACATCCAGCTGATGGACTCTGCCCAGAGTGACCTTGTTGAGTTTTAGGGGTCAGGCCAAGGCGGTATCGGCTGTGCATGAGTGGCGATTGGGATGTGGCGCCAACATGTTCTGTGATCTAAGAATTCTGGAGCATCTTCGGGAGGTTGCAGGGAAGCAGCCGGGGCTGGTTATCGGCGGACACATCTGGGGAAAACTTGTTCCTACAGCCCAAGTGAAAATATAATAAAAACCAAATAAATAACTTCAAACAAAACCCCCAATAGTGCTGGAATTTAGAGATTATTTTGATGAGTTTTGCTGCTAGAATCTGAGCGACCACAGGTGCTTCATTCATGACTTGGATTCTTAGGCTGGAGGGTGGCAGGTTAGCTCAGCACCTAGATGTGAATGTTCTCAGTCCCTGGATCATCCCCTGAGCCTAAGGTTGCCTGTCTGCTGAGGCCACTTACCTTCAGCAGCTGTGACCTGTGGCAAACTGTAGATAAAATTGTATTGAACACACCCACACCCATTCATTTCCACTTGTCTACAGCTGCTTTGGGGCCACATGGACGTAGTGAGCATTGGGGACAGAGACCATCTCGCACACCAGCTGAAAAATACTCAGTATCTGGCCTTTTACAGAAAAATCGTGCCAAACCCTGCTCCAAACTTTTCATTCCGGTCATTTTTCCAATCCAATCCCTTTAGCTTCAAGCACTTTTGCTAGAAAAGTAGATTTGAATTGTAAACTCTCTAACTATGAACATTTCATAGAGCAAGACAGAACATATAACAGGCCCTAGGCACCTGCCACCAAGATGAAAACAACATTAGCATTTCCCATCTTCATTTTGCAATTTCCTTCTATTTTGAAAG